AGGGAAGGACTCGGCGAGTTGCTCGTGGACTCGGCGAGTCCAGTCAACTGGAAGTTGACTTTGACTTGGATTTCGACCTGGTCGAGGGTAAAAGGGTCATTTTACCCTAAGAAATTCTAGCAGTGTTTGACTGATCGTTTTTAGGGATTTATAGTTGGAGGACGTCCGGAGCAGCAGTAGACAGTCAGTTTCCGATCAGTTCAGCAGCTACTTTCGAGGTGAGCTACCTTCTAGTAGCGGTGGGTCTAAGGCCACAATGCCAGCCCACCAGTAGGAGATGTATGATAGATGATTGTCTTTGTGATATCATCTAGGTTTGCTACTACCTGATATGTTATATGCTAGCATGATATGTTATATGTGATAGTAGTAGAGTTCGGTTGTTAGGACCGAAGGGTAGTCAGACACCCCAGATATGTCTGACAGTATGTGATTATATGTTTGTATGCTGGCCTGATATGTTATATACGATAGAGGTAGTAGGAGGGGACCAATCCCCGAGTTCGATTTCTAGGACCGAAGGGTAGTTCAGGCACCCCATATATGTCTGATAATATGTTATGTTATGATATATGTGATAATAGCAGTAGGGGATGAAATAGTCCCTGAGGTTCGGTCGTCAGGACCGAAGGGTAGTCAGCACCCCAGAATGGCTTGACATGGGTAGTCAGCACCCCAGAATGGCTCGACACGGGTAGGTCGGCGCCCCAGAATGGCCGTACCGGGTAGGACGGGCACCTCAGAAATGCCTGACAATATCTATGATATGTGATTGTATGGTATGCGGTATGATAGGGGAACTCACTAAGCTCCGTGCTTACAGTTTTCAGTTTTGGTTTCAGGTACCTCTTCTTCGAAGGGGAAGGAGCTCGCGCGGTAGTAGCACATCACACACACGCCTTGTATTCCGCACTACGAGATCTTCCTGGGGATTTGTACTCTGACTTTATTATGTTTTTATAACTGGTTTCCAGACACGTACATCTTTTATGAAATGTTATGATTGGTGAATGTTTTATTTTAATGTTTTGCTAAGTATGTGTATTTAAAAATAAAATTTTTGGCTAGTATTTTTGGGGTGTTACAATATATATATATATATATATATATATATATATATATATATATATATATATATATATAAGGGGTTTGTGGTCGTTAATGGGCCTTAAGATAGAGTTTTCGGTCCTATAGTGGGCGTTATAGTGTTTTTGGTCTTAAAGTCAGCAAGGAAAAAGGGTTTTTGGTTTTTAGTCAAAATAGAGAAAGGAATTCGGTCAAGCTTTTCATCATTTAGGGTTTTCGATTTTGCTTTATTTCAAGGAAGGGTTTTCAGTTTAATTAGGGATTAGATTCTCTAAACCGAAAACCTTATATATATCAAGATATATTATAGTTTAAGTTAAGTATTAAGCCTTTATTTGAACTAGTGTAACCTTTATTGACTTATATTGACTCGAAATAACCGGTTGTTACATTATCCCCCCGTTAGAGGGAATTTCGTCCCGAAATTATTTCTATAATGAGTACATCATGGACTAGGGAAAAGATGTGGGTGCTTTTTTTGCATCTGATCTTCTCACTCCCAAGTGAATTCAGGTCCTCACTTGGCATTCCAACGAACCTTCACTATTGGTATGCGACTTTGTTTCGTTCGTTTGACTTCCATATCCATGATTTCTATTAGTTCTTCCATGCATTGTAGACTCTCGTTCATCTCGATTTCATCGAGTGGAATCACAAGAGTCTCGTCAGATATACACTTCTTTAGGTTTGACACGTGGAAGACAGGGTGTATGTTATTTAGTTCTTGTGGTAGTAAGAGTTTGTAAGCTACTGGGCCGATTCCAAACGACCCTATATACCTTGGATTTAGTTTTCCACACTTTCCAAAGCAAATCATGCCTTTCTAGGGTGAGACCTTCAATAGAATGCGGGTACCAACATGGAATTCCAAAGGTTTTCGTCTCTTGTCTGCGTAACTCTTTTGTCTGTCTCTATAAGGTTTCAGTCGTCTCGGATTTGAACGATCTTCTCAATCGTTTCTCTCATGATCTTCGGGCCAGTGAGAGTGTTGTCAGGAACTTGCCCTTTAGCTAGTTTTGTGTGATGTGTGTAAAGTGCACTAGTTTAATCCTACTACTTCAAACACAAATAAGCACACGAAAGGCAGTGTACCTATCGTTTAGGAATATAGTTCAAGCAATCAGGGTATCGAACACAGGAATGGTAACAATTATATTAAACACTAGAATTACGTAATTAAAAAAGGAACAATTTTCTATAGTTTTTCAAAAGACTAGAAACTCAACAATTAACTACTACTTAAACAAAAAAAGACTAACAACTAAGGAAATTGAAGATAACTAGATTCAATAATAAAAGAGACTTTTGTTTAGGTTTGACTCACTTGTTTCTATAGTTGATTTTATGGCAAGTGCAATGGATTATTTTGTCATTGGCTACCGATAAATGTGATTAGGCTCATGTTCACTATTACTAATCCTTAGAAACACAAATTAATTTAAATAGTGGCCAATTGGTTAAAGTAATGAATTTCCTAGTATTTTGATTCGGGTTAAGTAAGACTTATATTTATAGCTAATTAAATGGCTAATTTAATCAACATCTTGTATGGTTGTTCATCACACAAGCTTACATTTTAACTTACATGTTTTCTATTAATCCTAGGTTCATATTCACTAATACTAGGCATATAATGTTGTTTTCATATATATATATATATATATATATATATATATATATATATATATATATATATATATATATATATATATATATATATAAGGGTTTTTTGGTCCTTAATGGGCCTTAAGATGTGGGCCTTATAGCGTTTTTGGTCTTAAACTCAACAAGGAAAAAGGGTTTTCGGTTTTTAGTTAAAATAGAGAAGGGACTTCGGTCAAGCTTTTCATCATTTAGGGTTTTCGGTTTTGCTTTACTTCAAGGAAGGGTTTTCGGTTTTGGTTAAGGATTGGATTCCCTAAACCGAAAACCTTATATATATATATATATATATATATATATATATATATATATATATATATATATATATATTATATTTTAAGTTAAGTATTAAGCTTTTATTTGAACTAGTGTAACCTTTATTGACTTATATTGACCCAAAATAACTGTTTATTACAATCAGATCTACAATATATGATCTCAAAGGGAATTCTAGGATCTATAATGTTGCCAACTTTATGGAATCATTCCATTCTAACTAGGCAACACAAGAAGAAAATGGGACAAAATCTTAGATCTACCTTCATAGATGTAGCACCTGGTTCCGGTACGTACTCCTTGCTATTTACCTTTTAAAAATAAATAAATGATAATAATGCATCTTGCCTTGGACTCGGCGAGTTGAAGGTCCAACTCGCCGAGTAGGAGTGGGACAAGGCGCGGGAGTTGGACTTTGGACTCGGCGAGTAGGCCCTGGTTGGGAAAAAACCCTAATACGGGTGTTTTCACCCTATTTAAACACTCTAACTTGGCCTCCTTTGTCCCTAACACTTCCAGAGAGCAGTAGAGCGAGACCCTAGCCCCCCATATTGTTCTTGAGAGTGTGTTTTGGCTTTGTGAAGGAGGTTTGGAGCTTAGAGGAAGAAAGAGGTGGTTGAAGAGTGCAAGGAAAGGAGTAGATCCGAACTCTACTCAGGGAGAAGCTTCCATTCAGGTAAAAAGTCTTTACCTTGATCTTTAGATCATTAGTTACCATTTTTGTCCCCAATTGGTTGTTTTCAAGCCCTAAAAACACCAAACTCCATGTGTGGTGCTTAATGATCCAAAAGGACTTCAGATCTGGACTTATTGGATGAATTAGTAGCATAAAGTTTTGTAGTTGGAGTGATTGAGGTCCCCATTAAGTGTATGACCTCATTAAGAATTTGGTTTTGGCCTTATGAGCTTATAGGGCCATGCATGCACGTAAAGTTTGCAACTTTACGTGATAAGCATGCTCAAGGAACATGGATCTATGGTTTTGAAGCGTTACATGTCTCAGATTTGGCCTATATGGGAAAGGGGTCATAGGGACTCGACGAGTCCCAAGGAGGAACTCGGCGAGTTCCATGAAGATGGACTTAGACTTGACCAGTTGGATGAACAACTCGGCGAGTCCTATGAAGATTGCCTAGAACTCGACAAGTTGTTCTTCAAACTCAGCGAGTCGGGTCGCGAGTCGGTTCAATCGTCCCAAGTAATGAGTTAAGGGTGATTCAGTGAGTGGGAAGAAGGTCTGGTCGAGTAGGACTGGGTTAATAGGAAAAGGACTCGGTGAGTCCAGTCAAATGGACATTGACTTTGACCAAGGAGTTGACCTTGGACCAACGGAGGGTCAGTCTTTTGACCTAAGGGTATTTATGGGTGTCTAACCTATGTTTATGGTTTATAGCCGGAGGATTTGCGATCCAGCAGTCAGATGCTCAGCAAGCAGACTTCAATAGCTATTTTCGAGGTGAGTTACCTTCCAGTAGCGGTGGGTCTAAGGCCACAATGCCGGCCCACCAGTAGGAGACGTGTGATAGATGATTGTCTTTGTGATATCATCTAGGTTTGCTACTACCTGATATGTTATATGCTAGCATGATATGTCGTACATGATAGGAGTAGAGTTCGCTTGCTAGGATCAAAGGGTAGTCAGACACCCCAGATACTTCTGACAGTATGTGATGATATGTTTGCATGCTGGCTTGTTATGTTATATGCGATAGGGGTAGTAGGAGGGGACCAGTCCCCGAGTTTAGTTGTTAGGACCGAAGGGTAGTTCAGGCACCCCAAATATGTATGATATTATGTTATGTTATGATATATGTGATAGTAACAGTAAGGGGTGAAATAGTCCCC